GACTATACCACAGAAAAGGTTAAAATTACAATTTAAAATACTAGGGAAGCCGAAACTGCCATTTTAGCATATGCGGTGACATGCCCGTGACAGGGCAGAGAGACCATGTGCATCCACTGGCATGGAAAGCACAAAAAATTCTGGCTGGAGACCAGGAGGAATTTTTCCACTGGCTCTTCCGGAGAACCCGCCACAGCACAGGTCAGAGACGCAGTGGTCACACGATGTCCCTCCTGCAAGCCTCAGAGACGGGCTTTTAGAATCGATGGGAAACAACCAGTGCGGGCTGGATCCGACAGCAGACTGAAGGGAGCTCACTAAGGTGTCCCTCTGAGCCTCAATTTCCCCATTTTGAAGGACACGCTCTTCCTTTTACCTGGAATGTTCTACGTCTGATAGCCCATGCTCAGTCTCTTACTTCACTCAGGTCTCTGCTCAGGGGTCGTCTAACTGGAGAGCCATTTAGCCACCGATACACAGCACAGTCCCCGCGGTCACGCTCTGTCCCCAGCCTCTCTTGTCTACACACTGCTTCCTACAACCTGACATATGCATGTCTGCTCTGTGAGAACAGGACTGTGGTCTCTCACTCCCCAGTGCCCAGAACAGCACAAGTCCCGCAGGATACAGGTTGTTAAATAGTTGCCAGACGAATCATTCAGAAGCCCAGGGGGACCACTGCTGAAGCCTTTTCTAGTTTGAACGTTCTACAAAAATGCAACATATTTACATTTCATCTTCCTCTCCCCGTGGCTGGCTCTGGCAGCATTCAGGACTGACTGCGGTCGCCATCTGGAGAAGCCAAGAGAAAACCTTTAGAACAGCCAGACATCAGGGTTGGGGTGGAGTTTCCTGACCACCCTTTTTTTTTTTTTTCCAAGATTTTATTCATTCATTTGACAGACAGAGATCACAAGTAGGCAGAACAGCAGGCAGAGAGGGCGGGGGGGAAGCAGGCTCCCCACTGAGCAGAGAGCCCGATGTGGGGCTAGATCCCCGGACCCTGAGATCATGACCTGAGCTGAAGGCAGAGGCTTAACCCAGGTGCCCCTTCCTGACCACCCATTTTAAGCTCTGCCTCTTCTCATCTCATAGATGGGGGGCCACGGGGCTCAAGAGAATCGCCAGCCCCAGGAGCACCACCAGGGAGCACAAAGCCCCAACTAGAAGGCTCATCTCTTGTCTCCTGAAAGGAGACTTTCTTGCCACGTGAAACTGCTCTTGGCCGTAGCAGGCCAATCCGCTGCCCAAGACAGCACAGAGTGGGGCACGTGGAGCTCTGGTCAGTCCGTATTCGTCTTCACTGATTTGCTGTGGGAAGAGTGTTTGTCTCAAACGTGTATGTGCTCCCCCGCTGGGATATAGTGCGTGAGGTTCCAGGTGGATACATCGGTCCCCTGGAAGAAGGTGGGGTACGCCTCCCTCACTGGCGGAGTCCTGTGTGCAGACAGGGAGCTGGGCACCTGGGGAAGGCCGGGGAGATCAGTCCGGGCTGGGGCCCCAGGTTGGCTCTGAATTATACTGGTTGTCGTGCCCCTCGCAGGGTGTGTGTGTGTGGGGGGGGACTCCCCACTGGTACGAATGCACGAATCTCAGAGTCCCGGGCGTCAGAGTTGTCACAATGGGAGTGGTGGACACTGCAGTGTGTGCGCTGGGCACCCCCAGGACTAAAGCGCCTGGCTCTGCCCCCCAGAGGAGTGCTGTCCTCTCATCAACAGGGCTACCTCCCCCACACCACCGTCGCCCCTGTCCTGCTCAATGTCACATCCTCAGGCCCCCAACTGCCGGGTCAGCCTGCCAGAGCACTCTGTACCTGGGTTTGTCCACATTTCTCAGGTTCTACATCAAGGCTATTTCCCTTCCAGCAAGTTCCTTGGGGCCAGGCCCTGGCTCCTACCCCCTCGCCATCAGACTCCTACAAGCCGATCAGGGGCTGCCCAATCACAGCCGCGGTCACAGAGGCAGGGCCACCAGCACTGCAGCAAGTCACCATGGCTCCCGGCGTGAACTATGCAGTCAGTGACCTGACAGTGCATTCCGCTCCCATGCCGATTTGTGGCAGACCTGGCAGGACAAGAGCAGGTGGAGGGGACTACGATTTGTAACGGCCAGCGGGGCACTTTGCTTTTACTTGGCGGGGTCCACAGTGTACTTTCCCGGTGCAGACTCGGGGCTACGCTAATTCCGCTTTCTGCTTTAAGAAGCATACATAGACACGGACTACCTCGATATTCCATCATTCATTGCTCTGGTCCACCATACGGAGGGCATTCTGCTGACTGGACCTGATAAGCAGGTACCAGTAAATTCTACAAAGGCTTCAATGAAACAAGAGAACCAAAGCATGAGAAATAAGCTTCCCGGAAGTCAGGCCCCCAACACAATGACGTTTCTGGGGAGCTCAGGGATCTGAAGCCTGTCAGGAGAGCCTTGTCAAGGAGAAGGACAGACGGTTGCAAGTCACCTGCTACGTGGAAAGAGGTGCAGTGCCGGACCGGTCTTGCAGGCTTGAGAGGTGGCAGACACCGGGTCTGAGCGCGTTCATTCAACCCATCTCCGGAGGCACTGCGATCGGCTCCCAGCTGCAAGGAGGACTACGTTCAGGCCGTCATACACGCTGTACAACTGCTCAAATCCTAGGATCCGGAAGATCCAATGATACTCAAAGTGTCCATAGCAAATAAGAATGCTTCACAGAGCCTCCAGCAAGGGCCAGCAGAAGAGAAACAGCAGAGCCCCTCAGGAGTTCAGAGCAGCTCCCAGCTCTGTCGTCCTCCAAGATGCGTATCCTCCTTTCTAAAACAGCTCCAGTTTGTTTCTTGGACTTAGCGGACTGGTGTGTAATCACAGGACAAGAGCTGACCAGGCAGCCTGAGCCTCCCACATCAAAATGAGTGGCCTGACCCTCTTGGCCTTAAGGTTGGGTGTGGGCAGCAGCCATCGATCACGCGGCGGGAAGGGCACGTGGAAGAGAGCATAGGCGTGCGCGGAAGGTATCAGACTGTCAACGGACACCTGCTGCACGGCATCTGTGTTTTTTTGTGACCAGGTGACTGAGGACACCGACAGAACGGGATGGAGGAAAATCCTGAGTGGAGACTTGGGCCATACCCCTGGTTACCCAGCTGCCTGGAGGGGGCAGGGCCGGAAGTACTGATTCACGCTGATTTGTGGTGAGCTGCTAGCAGCTTGGCTGGATGGCTGAACATCTGGAACAGGATTCAAAGATTAGGGACATGGTCTGGCTGGGGACAGAGGTCTCAATATGGGCAGGCACAGACTATGAAGGTATCTGTATCCACGTGTGCCTGCCAGAGGCTCTCAGTGATCAGGGGGACAGAACGGCCTGCCCTGTGGACGCGGCCAGCTGCCTTCCCCAGCCACCGTGCTTGCTTGGTGGCCCCACGAACCAAGGGGCCATCCAGACAGGGGTGGGGGCTAGAACAGGCTCGGTATCTTTAACCTGTCCTGCCCACGGCTCACCGAGCCAACTACCGCTGAGGGCCTAACCAGCTAATGAACACCGAGTTCCTAGAATGGCATTTCCTCTGAAGACCAGCTAGTCACTAGTGTCAGGTAGACTACACTGGGCCCCTTGCATCATGGAGGGGGCAGAGACCGGTCCCCACTGGAATAAACAGATAGTCCAGTCATGGACACCCCCACCCCGCCTGTCAGCACCACCACCCATGGTCACTTTCCACAAACAGCTGTTGATCACAGAACCCAAATCACAGCAAGGGACACTCATGACAACAGGCTTGTGTCCATGGAACAAACTGTTATTACTACATCATCCCCCACCAGGAAGCAGCTGGGCGTACTGAGGACTCAGCTATGGTGAAGGAACGCGGTGCCGTCTCTCACAAGGACTTCCATGCCTTTAGCCAGAGACCATGATCTGGTGCGGATTCCCCAACAGCCAGAACATACGGGTCTGCAGATCAAGGTGTGGGAGTGGGGTTGGCACTCTGCAGTATTACACTTAATAAGCCAATCACAGAATCTTTATTTGAGAGAGACACACACAGGGAGAGAGGGAACACAAGCAGGGGGAGTGAGAGAGGCAGAAGCAGGCTTCCTGGTGAGCAGGGAGCCCAAGATGAGGCTTGAGCTCAGGACTTGGGATCACGACCCAAGCTGAAGGCAGAGGCCCAACGACTGAGCCACCCAGGTGCCCCTCACCCAATCTTTTTACTCCAGGCCTGGAAAATCTGGGCTTTGTTGGTTTGGCGGTCTTAGATGCTAAGGGGGTAACTTCCCCTGAGGGACACAACACTGGTTCTGGGTAATCCAAGAAGAATGCCACTCAGTGGTGATAGAGGACTAAGCCTGAGATCCAGAGAGATTCTCCAGTGTCTCCTGGTGTCTCCACCCAAGGGAAATAAAGCAAAGGGAAGTAACTCACTACAAAGGTTTCTAGAAAAGGACACTTCAGCAATGAAGGTTTGGTTCAGCCAGGTAAAACCCAGGTAAGGGAGGTTCTGAGGACAAAGGAAGTGTGGAGGGTGGCAGGGGAGTCAAAAACGTCAACTACAGTCAGCTACAGTCCTGTGAGCGATCACAGAATCCAGGGCAGGGCTAATGGCACATTTTCTCCGTACTGACTCACACATGCTCTTTTCTCATCTGGGGCGCTCCCTGTAAGAGAACATTGCTATACTGCACCCTGGGGCTCGTCGCCAAACGCTGGCAAGGACTCCTACATTTCGAGAACTCCTCAGGTGACGACGGTGACAGCGACCAACTCTGAGAGTGCGTGGTTGTCCTGACTCCCAGATGCGTCACCATTATGCCAAGAGCAGGAAAGAGAAGGTGGTCAGGGAAGCAGTGAGCCAATCAGAGAAAGTGAGGAAATGCAGGGGGCGCAGACTTCCTGGTACCAGAGCCCTAGCTGCTGAGCTCAGGGCGGCTGCTGTGGCCCGGGAGCCCTGCAGTGCGGCCTCGCCTCCGCAGCGCCCTCTCTGGCTGCTGTCGGTAATAAGGGGAGACCAGCCGTGTTCCGAAGAAAATGTAGCTTTATTATGACATAGGAAAGACTACAAGCCATTAAGGGAGAAGACTTGACAGGTCCTCAAAATGACAGGTAAAAGGGAGGTGTAAACATCTTGGTAATAAAATCCACAGCACGATCATTGGAATCTTTTTCTTACAATTTTTGTTTTCAAGGTTATAGTAAACGAAACAATCACTTGAATTGTCAAAAGGAGGGCCATCTGGCCCAGGGAAAGCATACACACCAAGCCGAAGGACAAGAGCGAGGGGCTATGTGTTGTGGGGTCAGGGGCACTGCCGCGAGAAGGAGGCCTAAAGACGACCCTGCGCCCTGGAGAGGCAGCCTGGCTGCTCGGGCTGCCCGCCGGACCCCCACTCTCCCGGCACGGCCCCAGCTTAGAGCTCACGTCACAGCTCTGGAGATGGAAAGCCCGGTTCCCTATGATGCCGTGAAAGGGCGGCCAACGTCTCAGAAACACAGATTATTTTAAAACCACTCATGGGAATGTGGGGGGGCAGTGGGGATCCCCCGATGGCCCCTTTAGTGTCAGATGCACTTGGTAATGGCCTGAACATGTGAACAGGGGTCTTTGCAAGGAAACGAGAGAGCTATGTTCCTGAATTTAATGCCTGGCCTGGGAGCAAAAAGAAACATTCCCAGGCCCACCATGGAGTATTTTGTGAGTAACAAAGTAAATCCCAGCGACCGACATCCTGCTGGCAACACTGCCCTCGCACGGTTGCTACAGTCACAGGAGCTTCCCAGCGGCAGACACAGGTGACAACTTGCAACGCCGGTGTCAACAGGGAATAACAACAGTTAATTTGGATACAAAAACTTAGAGTCATGTCTACAAAAGAGAAACGTGGCCTCATCATCTATCTCCAGACCTCATGCTCTTGGAACAGCTGAGCTCTCCTGAACATGAGCAGACACAGATGTGGAAAGCAGAGCTGGCCAGACCACAGGGAACCTGCCAGAAAACCCAGGACCATCCAGTACAGCCAGGTCTCAAGGGAGCAGAGCTCACAGCTCGAACTCCGCAGGCCAGCGTCAGCCAGTTCCTTGCTTGACTTGCTCCTTATTAAAGGGCAACAGCTCTCCCACAAAGCAACCTTCCCAACAATTTCTCTCTTACAATCACACACACAACCCAGCCACGTGGGGCCATTTCTGAAAATCTGCACCCACCCTTGTTCCTGATCATTCCTGCTATCACAGAACACGTACTCCCAAAAAGCAAAAATACACTGAGCATGAACTGAGCAAGTGCTTAAAAGCTGCGTCACTAAGGGCTTTGTCATCCAGGAGGCTGCTGCGGCACGACTGCTGTTTCACGTATTCCCGCATGTTCCACACGGAGCGGTAACTACTCAACGGCTGCTGTTCCTACCCACTTCCTACCTTGACTAGCTGATGAGCCAGATCACGCCCACTGTTTCTGCATGGCCTACCAGCTCAGCATTGTTTGCACATTTTTAAATAGAGAAAAAAAAACAAATTCCGTAACAGGTGAAGACTGTCAAATTTCAGTGTCCGAAAGATGTCTTCCTGGAAAAGCCTCAAATTATTTACTATCTGGCTCCATTAAAAAAAAAAAAAAAAAGGAAAGTAAATATGCTGAACTTGAAACAGAGGATTCTCTTCTCCAGGAACAAACATTCCACAGCTCAAAAGCAGACCCGGCTCCTAGGACAAGCACTGCTTGTTCCCCAAAAAGACATTAAAACAGCTTTTCCGCACCCACATGTCTGGGTTGTTAAGTTCTCAGAAACGGACAATGGAAGTTTGTGTTTAGACAGACAAGTGCATGCAGGGTATCTTACAAGGACCAAGGCAAACTGTTCCGTCTCCTCCAGCAGCTCCTCCCTCTTCCCACCAGCTCGCTGGCCCAGCCGCCTGCCTCTGCTGCAGCTCTACCTACACCAGACGTAGGGCGGAGGCAGCAGTACCAACCGCAGGCTCCACGGGACGCCACTCCAGCTTCCATCCGACCCACGAGCCGCCACGTGGCCACAGGGAGAGCAAGTGGGACGAGGGGCCAGGAAGAAAATAGGAGGAAGGAACAACGAAGCCCCTGGAAACACTTCACTTACTCAAAAGATTAACAGGACAGAGACACTTACTAGCCTCAGCCTGACTCTCGGCCGCTGCCCCCGCCAGCCCTCACCTGGACGCGGATGCTTCCAAAGGGGAAGGGGGTAGGGGAAGCAACAAAACCAGCACCGATGAAAAAGCAAGATTCACTCTCGAGAATAAAGGAAAATGATCTAAATTTCTGTATAAATGCAATAATTCATTCACGTTACTACCATTACATTGATGAAAGTCACCATTGTGGAAAAAGAGAAAAGGGGAGAGAGCTATGAAAGTGCCTATTTCTAATAAAAAAAAAAAACAAAACCAAGAGAGACCACCTGGGCTGACGCCTCCACATGCAGTTGGGTGCTAAGTGATCTGCGCAACAGACGAGCTTGGGAACCCGCTGGAGTCCCCGGTTCCGCGAGCTCGGTGGGGGTGGGGGGGTGGGAGCGTTCCTCTATCTGCTGACCAGACGCAGGCTAAGTTCCGCTATCTATGTTTGATACTAAACCAGCAGCGAGGAAGGTGCGCGCAAAGTCCTCTGTCCTCACACCACGGCTTTGGCTCCTGTATCTCACTGTTTTAATGGACCCATGATGGAAAACCGGGTTGGCGCCTTTTCAAACTGCTCCCTTGCACAGCCGAGCCGCAGCCCCGGGACACGCTGATCCCCCCACCTCCGCCGCACGTGGTCTCGAGGAGCACAGCAGACGCCCAGGGACGCACCACCGGGGTTCCTCCCCACGCAGGGCACATCCCCCCACGTCGCTGCGTCCGCTGCGTCTGCTGCGCAGGTCCCGGAGCTTCCTTCGGAGTACAGCGCTCGTGCACGCGGATGCCGCGACCCTGCGCACCCGTGTGGCCGCGGCTGGGCCCAGGCTGCAGGGGAATCCGATGCTCTCGGGGGCACTTCTGTGTGGGGGGTGGCTTCATGAAGTCGGGGAGGGCGGAGATCACCTTGGGAGGCTGGCCAACTCATCGCCTTCATTTTTGGGGACCAGCCGCAGGTAAGGCTACTCATACTCCAGGAACTGTTTGTGGTAGAACAGCAGATATCTGAGGAGGCAAAGACAAGAAGCACGCTGACACTCCAAGTTACCGGAGGCAGAAGCAACACCGCGCCTCACCGCCGAGACACCCGCGTGGGGGTCTCGGAACCCACTGGCGGCCTGACTGCTGGCCTGGCTGGGTTCTGGCCCCGAGGAGAAGGGGCCTTGGCTAGGCAGCAGGCTGCCCACGGTGAGTGCCCGTCCTCCCCCCTGTCCGCCAGGATGTCCTGAGTCCATTAGTCCCGCCCCCACAGCTCCTGAAGCTTCTCCCGCCGTCCACCTCGCTGCCAGGCTTCTAGTCCAAATGCGCCCCTTTGGGTGGCTCCTCTGGCCGCCTCTGCGCCCACAAAGCTATCCTCTCGCACACAAATTGTTCTACAAGGCTCTCAAGGGGCGCCCCACTACTTGGCGGTGATACAAAGCGCACACGCCTCAGGAGTGCTCTGGGCCCTATCTGAGCCCATCTCTGGTGGGGGCGGGGAGCGGTCCATGGACAGTCTCAAACCGAGTAAGGACTTGAGGGCAAAAGGCCAGGGAGGAATGAAGCAGGTCAGGAAGAAAGGAGCTCCCCAAGACCCCACGTGGCCACTCAAGCCACAGAGAACAGAAATGACCACCCCCACATTCCTGGTGTTCGGGTGTTCATGGAGAGCGACCCCGCCCACCCAGGCTGGCACCCTGTCCAGAACAAGCCTCCATGTGGGAATGGATGTACACTCAGGGAGCCGGCTGCCGCCCAGACGTACCCCTCACTATCCAGCACGTCCTCAATGCTGGCCTTGGTGATGATGGCATCGTCACACTTGAACCACTGGTCCTTGTGCTGCCGGATGAAGCTGGTGTAGTGGCCACTCTCCAGGGTCCCTTGGTGGTTAACTACGGCAAACAAGGAGTACCTAGTTTGGGAGCGCGGGAGTGGGGAGAGAATGAGCAGAGAACTTAATCGAATCGCCATCAGAAGCAGTCAGAAGTCTGCACGGTCCGTAGCTCACGGACCCCAAATGGAACACCCCAGGAACGACAGCGGGAGCCCGGCAGGCACACAGGCCTGCCCAGCCCGCCCAGCCCACCCAGCTCTTTAGCTGCTTTGCAGAAGCCACATTCAGTGGAAGCGGGGACAGCAAGCTGCACTGGGGATGCTGTAAGCCCACAGTCCTTTGTTCCTTCCCCCACAGCGACGGTAAGCAGGGGTGAAGGGAAGAACAGAGGCCTTACTGCAGCGCCGGTGGAGGCAGAGGCCAAAGGGCCCCAAATCCAGACACGGAGCTCTCATGCTAGCAGCGCCGTGGCCAGTGCGAACCCTGCTCACGTGCAGGAGCTGGGGCAGAGGGGGCAGGCTCCTACATCGGGCAGCTTTACGGTGCGCTTGTGAAAATCCTTCCCCAAGAGGGTTTCAGTGTTTTCAACAGGGGCAGAGGAGCAGCAAGACAGGCAGCAGGCCAGCGGCCAAAACAAAGAGGAGCTGTGCCATTGGGGGCCTCCCCGCACGGCCCACCTGTGGTTCCATGTTCCCTGCTCATGCTGGAGACGCGCCCACCCACGAGGCACCACTTACTTATTGTCATTGTTGAGACTGTCTGTTGGCTGCTGGTACTGTCCGTTCATCCTGCTCTCTTTGCTGTAACAAAAAACAGTACTTCCTCAGCATCATTTAAAATAATTAACCAGGGACACCTGGATGGCTCAGTGGGTTAAAGCCTCTGCCTTCGGCTCAGGTCATGATCCCAGAGTCCTGCGATCGAGTCCTGCATCAGGCTCTCTGCTCAGTGGGGAGCCTGCTTCCTCCTCTCTCTCTGCCTGCTTCTCTGCCTACTTGTGATCTCTGTCTGTCAAATAAACAAATAAAATCTTAAAATAATTAACCAAGCAGATGCCCGGCTCGAATGACGGTACCCCTGGGTACTACTCCTGGGGCCTCCTTCGCCAGACGTGGCACTCGGTGCACTTTAGACATGCTTTCTAATTCTTCCAGCAGCTCTGCTTTCTAGGGGAAGGTGAGGAAGCGGAGGCTGGAGCTGGAGAACAAGCTGCACAGAGCCACGAGGCGCAGAGCCGGCCCAGACAGACCGGACTCCCCTTGGCTGCTTCCAGCTAAGCTGTGGTAATCTGTCAGAGAGGCTGTAGGAGATAATGCACATTTCACGTAGGCGCGAGTGTCGTGGTGGTTCGGAGGGCACGTTTTAAGTGGTCTGGGATATCAAGATTTGAATCTATAACTGCAACACAAACTGCTTAGTGTATCCAAAATCAGTCCCATCAGTGGCAGCGCGGCCTGCCGGGATCCCACCGCGACCGCTCGCCACGACTGAGGGCTGCTAAAGGAGCACCGGGGAAACCCGAAGCTGAGGAAACTCCTCTGTGTCCTGGGTTAAGACCAGGATAAAGATTCCGTTTCAGCAAAGGCGCTTCTAGTAGCCTCTACACCGGCTGATCACAGACCCGGAGTCGATCCTGGACCTTATGGAGCCGCAGCCCTCCTGATCACACAGCGGCCCAAACCCTTTCATACCTGGACGCCATGAAGGGGGTCATGTCCAGTTCCAGGGGAAAGGACACGTATGTGGTGATCTTCCGCCTCAGCTTGGCCGAGTGCTCGAATCGCTACAGAAACGGGAGAGGGGAGAGAAGGAAAGGGATGAAGCTATAGGGGTTTCCTCTGATGGTGCTTCTCTGGACACTCCCAAAAGTGGGCTTTTCATGGCCTTTCTGACTTGCCCTTTGGCCACATCTAGAGCTTACAGACTCAGTAACAGTGTATTAATCTATACAAATCTAATTTATGGGGTTCAAAAATGGAGTCTTGAAATGATGGGGTTGTTCAAAGTGACTGACGCCAGGTGTGCAAAAAAGTGATCTTACAACAAACCCAGCGAAGGGCAAGGCGGAAGGAAACAGAACAAACATCCATGAGCTCCGGGAGCAAAAACGGACCTACTGTTCCTTTCGGCAAAGACATTCCTCTGACTAGACTGGGGCTACCAAACCCATGCAGCAAGCCAGGAATGGCTCGGGGCTTTTGCTGAAAGGGTCATAAAATAAAGACCATAAAACAAAGATCCTATGTGGCCATGAAGCCTGAAATATTTACTCTCTGACCCTTTATAGAGAAAGCTGACCGACTCCTGGACTAGAGCATAACGCTCATGGTCTCATTTGCTTTTAAGTAAAAGGAAACCAGAAAACTCTGGTGTTGGGGGGAAGGTGGGGAAGCTGGGGAGGAGGAAGAGGAGGAGGTTGTTCACTCCCGCCCCCAGGAGAGTAACTCACGTCCTACTGTCATCATGAAGTAACCAGTCTGGTTCACCACAAACCCCTCGGCGCAACGAGGACGGGGCAGAGTCACAGCGTACAACCCTCCTGCGCCCTCCGTGCTCGTCGCTGAGTCACGGCAGTTGTACAATGTGCTTCTCTACACCAAACCGACAGGCTCTCGGTGGTACCAGGGACTGAAAACGGAATCTGCCGCGGGAGTCTGCTTTCTAGAAAACTTACTTTGAGATGAAAACAGGCTACAATGGGCAGTTTCTTCATGGTGAGCTGCTTTGTGGACTCCTGGTAGCTGTGGCAACCGCTGCACTTGATCTTGGCGCTGCTCCCTAAGTGCTCCGGTCGGGTGAATCTACAGGACACGTGGAGAGCACAGTTGAAGAAGAAGAAAAAAAGATGGAGAGGTAAGAGAGGAAAAGACAAGAAAATAATTATTTTATCACTTTCCATGAGTTAATTTCCTACTAAACATGCACATAGTTAGGAGTGTTTATAATTCCACAATGAAAAAAAGAAAAACCAAACTATTTCTTCCTTCATCTCTTCCCCTTAACACTTCAAGAATGGTCTTAATTCTTCTTTTGAGTTAAAAGTCTTGTGAAACAGTAGTAACTTTCTAACGACCGTAAGACCCAGCAATTTGAATTTCAGGAAAACGAGAACTCAAGTTCATGCAACAATGGTACACAAACGCTCTGAGCGGCTGCACCCGTGACAGCTGAACACCCGACAGCCATCAGTGCTCTCCGGTGCGCGGACGTTAAAGCAGCGGCTACGGGCCACCCCCGGAGTACTCGTGGGCAACAATCAGGGACAAACTACGGAAACACACAAGCTGGAAGAATCTCCAGAGACCTATGGATGGGAGCCTTGGAGATTTCAGAGGTCGTATGTTCTACGATCCCGTTTACATGACATTCTCAGAACTCCCATGGCTGCCGCGGGTTACGAGGCAGTGGTGGGGGGAGGGACGGGCGGGGATGGAACTGTCCCGCATCCCAACCGCATCGATGGGAATATCCTGATGACACTGTACTGTAATTTTAGAAGATGTTATCACTGGGGGGGAACTCTGTAGAGGGTAGCCAGTTATTTATTTATTCTTTTTTAAAGATTTTATTTATTTGACAGATCACAAGTAGGCAGAGAGGCAGGCAGAGAGAGAGGAGGAAGCAGGCTCCCCACTGAGCAGAGAGCCCGATGCAGGGCTCGATCCCAGCACCCTGGGATCATGACCTGAGCCAAAGGCAGAGGCTTTTAACCCACTGAGCCACCCAGGTGCCCTAGCCAGTTATTTCTTACAAAAACGGGGAAATGATCGTTTTGGAATGATGAAGACCGACCACGACACAGCAGGGCTGCACTGAGCAGGCCAGCAAGCATGTGGCACAGGGGTGGCTACCCATAAAACAGACGTTTCGATACGGTTTATGTCAAGTTTTTTAAGTTTGAGGCTGAAAAACAAAGTTCACCTTTTCACAACTGGGTCTGGAAATCTCCGTTTATCCATTGGAAATTCGTCATCTTCCCAGAACAAGAAGTTGCCCCCTCCTGACCCGCAGCTGACCCTGCCTGCCCCGGGAGGTGCCCCGGAAGTGGGAAGCTGAGGGGAGCAGTCAGATCTCGTAGGGAGAAATGTGGGACAAGGCATCTGAGCGTGTCTGCCCCAGCCTCTAGGAACTAGCCCACAAATGCAATTGGCAAAGTCCACAGGGTGGGTAATTCTGAGAAAAACAATCTTGTCTTCTCAACACAGAAACAGCAAGGCAACCAAAGAAGAGGCTGAAGCCATGGATTTGCAACCAAAGTAATGTGCACACCTAGTCTGGATTCTGACTTGAACAAACTGTACGGAATACTTTTTTATAAAGACTATCAGGGCAGTTTGGACACTGGGTACCTGACCGAAGAGAGAAGAACGTGCCCATATCTATAGTGAAGACTCTGGAAATAACATGACTCGCCACACACAACCCCATAATGCAGCTTTCCCACTCAAACCCGTGTGGCCCCAGCCCACCCAAACTGCTTAGGAACACGCCAGGGGCCAAAACCGCTTCCATGACGACTAGCCACGCTTCTCCAGTCAGCACTGACAGCAGGGACAAGTACTCAGACTGTGGGTTACTACTGGGTGGAGAGAGCACTGTGCACTGAGGAAAAACAGGGACTTTTACAACTGGAAGCCCAAAGCCAGCCCAGAACAGAAATCAGGGAGAGGATTCTGTCCGTCCAGCAAGCAGTCAGAAAACAGGTGTCTGATGGCGGGAAGCAAAGTCCCCGAGGCAACAAAGCTACCAAGCCGGGCTGCAAAGAACACTTCCATGAAGGAGTCCCCAGGAACTCTGTCCTGGGACAGGTTTGAGCTTCCCGAGACGCAGCCTTCTGCGGCTTGTTAAGTCAGATTGGGGGTGGAAACATTTTACTTAGCCTCAAATCTGAGTACACATGCATCAGCCAGGTACAACCTCTCTGCTAAGTATCACCAATTAAGCACCTGAGTAGTAAGCACGCTGCTTCTCCTGCAGACACGCACTGCAACAGACAGACGCCCGTCCAGTCTAAAGTATGGAGTCCAAAATCCTCTTTTGAGGTTTTCCCATTTTGTATTCTTCGGGAAGTTCCTGATTTTTGGTCATTTTTTTTTCCATGTACAGTGCCCTAAGCTCATCCTCCCTGCCAAACTACGCTAACTTTCTGACACCAAATAGGTCAATCAAACCTGCTTCGACATTAAGAAAATGTCCCACGACATTAGCTACAAAGAGGATTTGGCTTCAAATTCACATAACTGTGAGTAAAGGATGGAAGAACCACAGAGCTCAACCCCCATTATCTCCTCAACTATCTGTCCAGGCCACCCCTACTGTTTGGGGAACTTCCAAACCTAGGTGGGAGGCAAGGCCCAACTTCCTTCATGGAAGGTTACCACAGAAGTTTGGGCACCCGACCTAGGCTCGGCCAGCTGGATACTCTTCATGAGGACTCTGTATCTGGAAAAGTCGCTCTTGAGAAACATCTGTAGGAAGAACTGGTCCGGCCAGGAGCCCCAGTTCTGCTGCACCCGAGAGCAGCAGGCCGATGGCGGGCAAGCCTCTCGCGGTGACCACGTGTTTGCTGAGCTAGGTCCTCTTCAGCCTTCCTGGGGATGTGGTGACACCCAGTACCTTTTCCTGCCTAAGTTCAGCAGAGCCCGCTCCTGCCACCTGTGAGCGGTCTGAGCCGGTGCACCCTCATGCACACATCCAGGGGAGGACCACCACCATGCCAGGTGCGACGGCAGGAGAGGAAGGGAGTACGAGGCAGTCTCCTGCCCCGAAGAGGCTGCATTTCGATCTGGACTGAGGAACTACAGCATGGACAGCAGAAAGCAGAGACAGCAATATACTGACGAGAGCCAAGGGCACGTCCCGAGGCCAACACAGGAGGAGCATGGACACCAAGGAAATCGACTGGCTTGGCAGAGGTCTCCCCCCATCACCAGGGCCACTTCTGTCTCCCACCGAGTCCACCTCCTGCCAGCAGGGCTCCAGGAATACAGGCTGAGCACTGCCTTGAGGCAGCTCCTGAAGGGTGATGGCCACTGCTTACCCCCTCATGAAACACTATAGGACTCGAGGGTCTGGAGCTACGGAATTCCATCTACCTTGACGTCTTCCTGCCGGGTTTGCAATCTGCTCTCAGCCTAACTCGGAAAGGGTCCCTTTGCCGTTAGCACAAACTCAAGATGCACGTTCTCTGCCCTTCCCCAGCCACTCGGCCACTGACCCAGCCCCATGTGGCCCCCAACCGGACAGCTCCGTGGGCCAACTGTGGCTGCCCCCTCTGTACCTGCTTGGTGGGCAGAGCTGCAGGTCGCCGAAACATAGGACTGAGTGTAACAGAGATGTAAACACTCCCTTTGAAAATGGTGGGCTTTTCAGTTCTGATATTTTGCTTGGTTTCCAAAGCAAAATCTGGTTTCCAAATTACAAGTCTGATGCCCCATTTACAACTGGAGTATCAGTGTGATGGAGCTGATGCGTTTAAAAATTCTTAGCAGGGGTGCCTGCGTGGCTCAGTGGGTTAAGCCTCTGCCTTCGGCTCAGGTCATGATCTCAGGGTCCTGGGATCGAGCCCCGCGTGGGGCTCTCTGTTCAGTAGGGAGCCTGCTTCCCCCCCTCCCCCTCCCCACCTGCCTCTCTGCCTAATTATGATCTCTGTCAAATAAAGTTTTTGAAAAAAAAAAATTAAAATAAATAAAGTAAAAATTCTTAGCATGCACCTTTGGGCCTGCTGACTACACAGAGCAAGATAAAGACCCAGAAGGCCGCCCCTCTGCCCAAGGACACACCTGCAGTGACCTTTAATTAATGTAAAAGGAAATAAAGACTGTAAAACACTAAACACCATTAGAACAGTTTAGGGAAGGTCTCTAGTCTCCCTGCCATTGCTGAGAGCTTCCCGAGCATGGTGACAGCAGTGGTACTCTACACCCAGCACTCGTGTCAGGCAGAGACGAGGTGACCGGACAGGCATGGCACCACAACAGGCCTGTTGCCCACAGAGAGGGCCCTGCCCGACACCAGGGCAGGTTATCAGCCACACACGGTGACCATTACCGAGCTGTCCCCTCAGCTCTTGGGTTGGTCACCCGGCGCGGCGGAGCACGGCTATAACACATACAGGCTCCCTGCCAGGCTTTCAGAGCCAGGACAGACTGTCCGAGCCACTGGGCACCACCTACAGCCGCCTGCAGGCTGTCCTATCTCATTTTCTGTACCCAACACATGAGAGAAAATCCTACTGGGCCCCAGACGGTCCTGAATTTCTTTGGACTCTCCCCTGACCAACCAGTACCTCCAAGAGCCTGAAGGCAAGAGAGACAAGTGCTGGCCAAGAAAGACCGTTCTCCATCCCCAGAGGTGCCGGCGGTTTCTTACCTTCGCAGGCAGTCCGTGAGCGTAGTGGTTCCCGCTACGTGGCTCTCCCCGTTCACCACACTGCCCTCGCTCCCGGGGCTCAGGGGCCAGAATGGGGTGGAAGAGCCAGGCAGATCCAAACTGATGTCCCAGAAGGGGTCTATGGTGGTAGAGACTCCACTAGAAGCAAGAGGAGACAAAGATGCAGGTGAGAGCAGACGGCCACGCAGCCTCCGAGGCAGCAGCTGGCCCACGGCAGCCGCAGCCTGACACAGCCCTGCTCGTCCACCCAAAGGACATAAAGGTCAGACATCGCAAGACAGCTCCCACCCAACGTGTCGTGGCTCCCCAGAGGCCCTACGGAGGAAGAGGAGGTAAACCACTTCACGCAAAGGCTGCTCTGAAAGCAACAGTTTCCGAACCCAGAAGATCCTCATGGTTATTTTGGGGTTTTCTGAAAACCTGGCCCGTGTCCATTAGTTCTGAACTGATGAGCCTACCTCAGCAGCATCTGAGTCCGGTAGGAATCTAGAGCCCCAGGCGCGCTGCCCATGGAGAAAAGGCCGAGCAGAACTGGGCCCTTGACTGAACAGAGCCGTCTCCCTCTTACAGACGGACTAAAGGACAGGCTGGGAGCTTCATTCCAGATACTTAAACAGGACATAAACCTGAGACCACCTCCTGCTGCCGGAATCCAGCAGCACAGAGCCGACAAGGAGCTTCTTTAAAACGGAGTCTCTAAACACTGGAGCGCTGCCCACGACGGCGTCTCCGTCACAGAACGCTGTGTGCATGACCCAGGCCAAGTTACTCTCCTGCCGCCATCTCCTCTATCCTCTACCAACCGCATGGGGGAACCTGGCAGAGGTTCCGAAATAACTTGAGTGGATCGTGACCAAGGTTTTTAAAAACCTTGAGATGGAATAAAAAACAGAGGAGCGTGTGTGGAGGTCAGGAGGGAAGGTTCCTGCCACCTCACGGGTCAACGCTGCCTCCTCCAGGAAATCAAAGCTCTTGCATGCTGAGCCAAGCCTACAGCTGTCATCAATCAGGGAGCCCACGCTGGAAAACATGGAAACAGAAACCACGATGTGAAATGCAACACACTTGGGAGCACGGGCGCCAAGGATCGCCCACATGTGCGCCAGTCCCTCTGAAAGGCAGGGCTCGCTTATGTGGCTCCTGTAGGGCAGAGATGGGGGGGATGGGAATAAAGATGGCCCTGGGGACCCTGCTCCAGACGACCTGCTACGCTCCCCCCTGGGTCTTCCCTGCCAGAGCTGTTTCATCTCAACACAGCTGACGGCTTGGCTGCCGAAATTCAACTCGTCCTGCTTCACATCTGGCTGCCGCTGCACAGGCTCCTCCATAAGAGCCAAACCCCTGGTCCATCCCACCTCACCAAGGAGGCACAGCCGTGGGGCACCAACTGAACTTCTGGCTCTAAAAGTTAAACTTTTAAAAGCTGCTCAGAACACAGCCATGTTGTTGGTTGAAAACTTCCCAGCATGTTCAATAAGCAGCACCTAAGGTCCCACATCGAGGTCTGGTCAGCACAGACGAGGTGGGCCCTCGTGTTCCAGAAGAACGCTCGGGGCTACGCAGGGAGCCTCCCACTTACTGGCAGACTTGGCAGGTGACGTCGGACTGCAGCCCGCCCGTGAAGATCTGGTCGATGATGCAGTTGCAGTGGTTGGGGTTGTTGGCCTTCTTCCCGTTATCGTCACCTGGGGAAAGATTGTAGCTGTGACATGCACCTGTGCCCGAGTCTGCAGGCTTCCAAGTGCCATGGGCCCAAGGTGCAAGGCCATTCGCGGGCAGAGGCTCACAAAGCCCGATATGATCACACGGGCGCAGAAGGACCCTTATGCAAACAGGGAGGCTTGGCGGGAAAGGAGGTAACAACCCAGCTAGCTTATTTTCAATGCTCTTTTTTCTCCACTCCCTACCATCCGCTGGGCTCCTATCTAAGTACCAAGATATAGCTAACGCCCAGTTACCGGGGAGAGTTAAGGATTCCCGTCTGCCTGCACAGGACAACTGAGCAGCCCTGCCATGGCAGGCACCCCACGCTGCCGTGCCTGCTCTCCCCCTGTACTGCGTAGTCAGGTGCCCGACTTCAGAAAGCGTCTCTGCAGGACTCCCGCCGGGTTGTTTTCCCCATCAGCTCCTGTGCTCTGCAACCTCACGAACAGCTCCGCTTTCCAAGAAGCTGCCCCCAGAGAAGTACCACTCCCATCCTCCCTAGCTCAGTACGGGTTTTATTTATATCTTCGGGTGCAGATACAGGAACATAGTGCTTACATGCGGAACACGACACATGTTCGTTTGTACCGTTAAGTACATACTATAGAACTTCCATTGAACCAGACGAAGGGGAGAGACTGGGTCTGTCTGTATGTACGTTTCTTCTCAAAAAAGTGCAATTATTACCTAGGAATAAAGGATGCCCATTGGGTCTTTTGACAGCACACTGCCTAGAGAGATTAGGCAGAAAATCATATCCAGAAAGATTTCAAATTCATAGGAGAAAATGTCAGGACACAGGAAAATACATATAGGAAGCCACAAAGGAAGAGAAGCCAAAAGGTCCCCGACGCTTGCAGTCACACAGGAGCACGACCCAGCCAAGTCAGCCAACAAGGCCGAAGGACTCAGAACACCCTACTCCGGCAGGAGGAGCCACGCACGTGAGACCTGTGGAACGGAGTACGTCAGAGGAGTGGGTCCCAATCACTGTATCGTGTTTCTGTCCGATGAACGTTTGCACAGCAATGCATCTGAAGCAGCTGATTTTCAAGACAGACTCCTGCTGGTTACAGAAGTCTCGTGATTATCCTGAAGGGCTTGGAATGATAACTTAACAGTCTTACATAGCGGCTCTTTTCGGTCTGCGTGTTATACTTCCCACTAGAAAGCCAAACCTCACCTAAACTATTAAGCACTGTTCATTGGGTTCCTCGGGCGAGCACTGAAAGGATGTTTTTCAGGAAAAGAGTACATAAAAAAGCCAGAACCCAAAGCCACACAACTGATGAGAACAAGCCATCTTATTTGGAGTTTGGCTTGCTTTGAGGTTGTAATGTCAGACCACATGGGGCATTTGGGAGAGCAGCCCCGCAACTGGACAGAGGCTGAGCAGGAGCAGGAGGTGGCCTGGAAAACAGAACTGTGGTCCAAAAGAATCACCAAAACCCACTGTTCCAACCCAGGGGCCACAGGTAAGCAGTTGACTTGGTCACCCCGACACACGTCAGCTACACCTGAGTGTGCTCCATGAATCGGCACACGAGCATCACCAGGGACCCAGCAGGACAACTGCTGACCCTCGCCACACCCACTGACAGAAACAGCAGCATGCCCTCCAGGGGACTCCGAGCCACACTCAAGGTCAAGAGTCCCCCTCACCTGATCCTGTGTCAGCACACTTGGGCACAGGGCCTCCAGACGGGGAGCCCCGCCACAGGGAGGGCAGGAGGAGGGACCCGGGGCCTTGTTATTCAGTCCTAACCTCCTGCCCCGAGCCCGAAGAGCTGCTGCCCGATGTCCCCTTCCCCAGACTATCCAAACCTACCCACGTGTGAGACCCCTGGGGAGGCTGCCCCGCTCTGGGGGCCAGGCTGTGGGAAAGAAGTCAAGACCCAGTGAGATCCAGAGAGACTTTTAAAAAGCCCTTGGCTGGACCCCAAAATGAACAGGACTTGGGGTCACGGAAGCAGTGGCAAGCATGCAGGTCCCATTTTGTATTCTCAGCTCACTCCGGCGACTGCAGAGCCACAACCAGTCCTTCTGGAGACCCCACGAAGGGAGGGAGCCAGTGCTGACAGCAGAGCTGCACTTGGAGCATATGTGGAAGTTTCTGGCCTACCAGGGGCCACGATAACCTGGAGGAGCTGCACACCAGCCCCCTCACAATCAGGCCGAGAGGAAGCCGGCAGCAAAGGACTTGAGGCACAGGGCCATCAAGGACGGAGAGCTCTGTTCACTGTTACGGGTTTTACAGGACTGACCACCATGCTCCTCTCCTCCCAGCAAGGTCGGAAGACAACACCTCCAAACTGTTCCCTCCCCTCTTAAGACAAATTATGAAGAACCTCTCTGGGGTATTAAAGGTGAAAAAGAACACAGAACACAAGTGCCATATACAAGATTCCCTGCCCCTGCCATCGTGCGACAGCGCCCCCTACCTCTCCTGGGTGGGGGGAGGGTAGAAGTAGGGGGCACGGAGCCTCACCTTTGCAGTGTCGGTGCAGGACGTCTAGGGCGGCAATGAGGAACTCGTGCGCGTCCTGCTGCTCGTACCCCGCCAGGTGCCGCGCGTGAGTCCACACCAGGTGCAGCAACTTGTAGGGGATGTGGGGGGAGCGGTGCCCGGAGTAGAACTGCTCCCAGAGACAGGAGGGGAAGGGGAAAAACTGTCAGCAGGAAGTACCACACACGATAAAAAATCTGTTAACAACCACCTAGAATTTCTTGCAGCTACTCTGACAAAAAAGGATTCTGTTTAACTCCTTCCTTTTTTTTTTTTTGAAAATGTATTTTTTATGTGGACTCACTGGACTTTTAAAATCATTTTGTCCTTTCCCACTGCCAGTTTTCTACGGATAAGCCAAAATGATGAACTGGGAGTGCCTGACACAGACACAAGCCTGGGCAGGGCCTGAGAGCAGCCTAGGATCCAAGCAGAACAGAACCTGCTGTTCGGGGCGGAGGGCTACAAAGACAGAGGCGTTCTAGTGAAGCATACGGAGGCCTGGCAAAAGGGCCACTTTCCTTGAGAACAGAGGACAGCAGGCAATGAGGGAAGGGTGAAAAGACCCCAGCATTCACAGACAAATGTCTTCCACCCGCTGTCCCCTTCCAAAGGGCTCTTCTCAGCCTCCAAGTCGGCACGCCGCCTCTAAGCGACGCCAACGGTCCCTGACAATTCCCTTTGGGAAAAACGTCCCATAAGAAACGCACGCATTATTCACTGTGTAAGGTTTCGGAAACCTGCCTTCCTCTCCTGTGTCAACGTGATTTTATTTAAAGGAAAAACACAACAAGCAGTTACAGAAATGGTACGCCGCCCACGTCAACAGTGCTCACCTCCTGAAAAAGCGACGACATCTCGCAGACCAGACAGGAGCTGGGGCTCTGCATCTCACACCTGTGCCTATCGGAGAGGAAGAAGTCTCGCAGCAGCGGCGTGTGGGTGAGAGCCTGGACGATGCAGTTCATGAAGCAGGTGTTGCCAAGGTTGATCAGCCCTCGCAGACCTGGGCAGGATAAACATGAGTCCACTTACAGGACGGACTGTCACGGCCCCGGGGCAGGGACTGTTTCTGTCCATTACCACGAGGCTCCCTAAACCTAGCACACCTCCCCCGGGGCTGCAGGTGCTCCAGAAGCAGTTGGGGGGGGGTGGCAAACGATAAAGGCCTTATACAAGGGCTTAAAGAGAACCACACCAAGAAATCCTCCCGTTTACATCTACTTTTAAACCCAGAGAAGCCAGCCTTGCTGGCAGTAGTCACAAAGCCCCGCTCCGAGCACTGTCTCCCACTTACCTATGGTGCAGTTGGAGGTGATCTTTCGCCTTTTCGGGTTGTGCTTCAGCAGTTCGAGCTCCCGTTTGGTAGGTTCCCAAGTTGAAAACTTCTCCCCAACGCCTAAGCAGATGAAAGACAGGTCCCGGTGCCATAAGCCCAGTTTTCATCAAGTGTGTTTATACATAAAAGCGATGGTGACAGAACACTTAGATCGGCGTGTTTCGAAGCCACAACACGAGGTCTTTCCAGACCATGTTATATTGCAACAGGCTAGAAAGAACACTTAAAGGGAGTTTCTTTTGGAAAATGTGTGGTGAATAAGCAGTTTCCTGTGAGAAGGGCAACGCCTCCCATTAACACTACCATAGTGCTAATGCCAATATGGGGTTTTTCCGCCAAGCCTTTAACCCTTGAGCAGAGAGACTGCAGCAGCCCTGGCGGAAAGGGCTACACTTGGCACTGAGGTGAGGGGTCTCCGTGAGAAGACTGAAAGTGACAGGGAGAAAACGCACTTGCCGAAACACAGTTTGAAAACACCTCGTGTTAAACAGCTGTACCCATAAACGATCTGCACCACAGACAATAGTGCGGATGCTAATGGTCACAACTCATCCTAATACGTACAACTGTTCACGTGACTTAACATTTCTGCAACATTCAATGAACTTGAAAAAACATTCTATCTCACTGACACATGAAGTTATAGAATGATTTTAGAAGAGTTGTTTTATTCTGGGTCATGCATTTCTGAGCTCCTGTAAGTGAAATGTTCTTCCCAGAGAAATAATATATTCAGACTTAGTTGCAATGTTACTAAATTTTTGAGGGAGAAAAGAACAGGAGGTTGGTTAGAGACTGTTCTCCAGAAAAGATCTGTTACAATTGTGATCACGGAGAGCACCTGTTCCTATTGTTCCATTCTCAAAATATGGGGCTGCTTAAAAGCAGAGCAATTAAGGACAAAAACTGCGAAGCAGAGACCGGGTTTCTATGTTCTCTCTGTGAACAGTGGAAGCTGTATTCATGGAGAGATGCTCACTGGTCAAGTGGGGTCAACCGTACCTCCCACTGTTGAAACCCTCTTACGGTTCCAGCATCTGCTGAAAATGAAAACTAGAAAACCACCAAGGAAACAGTAAGAAATGAACAATAGGGAAAACAGCCACGTATTTCTGTGTGTCTCCCCGACTATGCATCCGATGAAGAAAGCATGTGACCACACGGGAGGACAGGGAGGGGAAAGCACCAGAGAGCCCCACGCTGGTACCAGAGCTACCGCCAGAAAACATACTGGTCTCTGCCCCTGGTTCCTGGCACAGAGCTCCTCAAACCCTTATGATTTCCTAAGTGATAAGAGCACTAGGAGCATCTTTATTCCAATGAGGTGACTCCTGGGGGGGCTCCTGGAGAGAGACCGGTTGCCAGAAAGACCACACCAAGAGAGGCTTGGCATTTCCAGCCTTGACCCCCACCACCCCCTGGCCCCTGCAGAGGGAGCCTGAGCTCCTGTCTGGTCAGTCACCTCATCTGCTTCTCCCGGATCCTCGGGTGGCGCCTACAAGAGGAAGCGGGCAGGTGTGGGGGATTCTTCCCAGCAAAGCAAGTCCAAACTGCAAACCCCCCCCCACAGCTGTCCTATTTCCCAACCCTGACCTTCTCCCTAGATGTTGACCTTTTTCCTGATAAGCTCTGTCCTTGACAGTCATCTAAGAGACAAAGGAGACACGTAAATCTAGGCACAACCAAACCTTGCAGTTTCCAAGCTCTGCGCTGCTCCTCTTTGGCGATGATTTCCATGTCCTTGTCATATATGTAGTCGTGGCACAGAAAGCAGTAGATGCCGCCATACATGAGCTCTATGGCTGGAGAGAGAAGCGGGGGAGAGAGATCACACTGAATTAAGAACTTAAAGGTAATGCTTAAGGTCACATATGAAACATCTGAGTGTTTAGACATTTTACTGTTTCCACCACGTCCCCACTCTCTCATTTCAGACCTTTACCCTAAGCAGGCGAAGGATGTGTATTTTCCCTGGGAGCTTGGGACTTCCGAGGCTGAGGGGATCGGACTGCAAATGGGAGGCATCACACCCGTATTTTACAAAGGATCTCAAGTATCAAGGACCCTCCGCCTAGTCTCTGAAAGTAAGGGAAGGGGCGCCCGGGTAGCTTAGCCAGGTCTGCCTTGAGCTCAGCACCCCTCCCACACATCCCCCGCTTCTGCTCGTGCTGTAAAATGGAAAAAAAAAAAAAAAAAAGGGAAACCTTTCACTGAGTATAATCAGCCCATAAGGATTCTAAGCCACCTGGACTGCTTTAACTATTTTACTACATCTACGACTCCTGATGTGATTACAAAAATGAATGAAACATCTACTTCCTACTCTTACTTTAAGGACAGTGGTAAAATATCCTCTACCCAGATAATCTTCACTTCTTGACCCACACAGGTGACTCCTGCCCACCTCTGAGTGGATCTTATGCATTTTCTCAACTGCATCATCCATAAAAACCGGCTTCTAGTTACTTCATTATAAAGTAAGATAAAGTCCTTTACTTTAAGCACCCGGAAGAAAGCTGTCTCAATTCAACAAATAAAAATAATATTTTCTGGCTTGGATTCACCATGCAGTGGAAGGTGTCTGAGGGGCAGTGGAGCGGATAGAGCACAGATTTAGAGTACCGGGATGGATCCCGCCTGTGACCAATCACTCTACTTCCCCAGGCCTCAGCTTCCCTCTGGTACGTGGTGATGGTTACAGCACAAACAGCTCAGAGGTTCGTGTGGTGCTTTTATAATGTTACAGCACGCCTAGCGCACGGTCTTCACGATCGCCGCCTGTATCATACTCCGAGTCTTCAGCTGCCAGGACACAGATCAGTCACTCTCTGATGGATCTTCAAAGTCCTCTAAAGCAGCCGTGTTAAAGCTCAAGGTTCCCACATCCACGCCTCACCTCTCACTCCCAAACCGACAAAATTCCTACAAATTCCTTCAAAGTCCCCATCAAAGCTGTCACAGGGAGCACAGCTGCGCCTCGGCACTGTATGCCTTGCACGGGAGAGCTCCCAGCATGGGGGCGGCAGAGCCCGAGGCAGACTACAGTGAGGGCGCCAGGCATTTTCAGGAAAGCAGACGCATTCGCTGACACACACGAGAAGCGAGCGGCACAGCACAGCGGGCTCTGTACTCGGCGGGGAGTCTGCTCCAGATTCTCTCTCCTTCCCTCTCCACCTGCCCCTTCCCGCCTTTAAATAAGTCAGTCAGTCTCAAAAAAAGAAAAAAAGAAAAAAAAAGCAGGCATACGGCCATACGGCCAACAGCACAACTACCAGCCTGGGGAAGGCATGTAACTATTTAATGTGTGTTCAAGTCTCCCTAAACAAGCTCCTCTTCAAGGCACCTTTCCACACCCAATGCACCACTACTCACTGTGTGAGGCTAATGGAGCCAACCGGACGCCAAGACCACTCAGTGGGGGGAGACCAACCTCCTCCACCAACAGTGATGGGACGATCAGACACCCACCAACAGAAGCGGGAAGCTCAATCCTTACCCGCCTGTCATACAAACATGGACTCAGAATGGGTTAGCAACTGCAATAAATCGCTACAAGTAAAAACTTTTAGAAGAAAACCCAATGGGGTCAAGTCTTCATGATCTGATTTGGCAATGGGCTCAGATGTGACACCAAAAACATGAGCAACTAAAAAAAAAAAAAAAAAAAGACAAATTGGGCTTCATCAAAAGTGGACTTTGTGCCTCAAAGGACATTATTAATAAAGTGAAAAAACACCCCACAGAATGGGAGGAAATATCTGCAAAGCATGTATCTGCTAAGAGTTCAGTATCCAGGAGAGAGAGAGAGATAGCTATCTCCAAGAGGTGTGTGTGAGGGTGTGTGAAGAGACAGATTTCCAAAATAAAAATATATATACATATATAGTTACCTCAAAGTACAACAAAAGCCCAACCCAATTAAAAACATGACCAGATGACTTGAATAGATATTTCTCCAAAGAAGGTATGCAAAGGACCAAGAAGCACATGAAAAAAACATTTAACATCCCTGGTCATTGAGAAAATGCCTATCAGAGCTACAATAAGATACCACTTCACAACCATCATAATGGCCAGAGTTACTATAAAAAAAAGAAAGCAAGTGTTGGCCAGCATGTGGAGAAACTGGAACCTTCATACAAGGCTGGTGGGAACAGAAAACCGTGCAGCCACTGTGGGAAAGTCTGGCGGCCTCACAAACACTCAGCAGACTTACCATATGACCCTGCTGTTTCATTCCTAGGAACAGACCTAAAAGAAGTGAAAACGTCTGTCCACACAGAAACTTGTACATGCGCATTTGCGTGGCATTACTCGGAAGAGCCGAAAGGTGGGAACCACCTGAATGTCCATTAACGGACAAAAAGATGAACAGAATATGGAAGATCCACGTGATGAGTGATTACTCAAACACACACCAAGGAACGAGTTCCTGATGCCCACCGCAGCACAGACGCGACCCGAAAACCTGCTAAGGGAACGAAGCGAGACACAAAGGGTCATCTACTGTATCATTCCTTTTATAAAATACTCAGAATAGGCAAATCCAGAGAGACGAAAAGCAGACTGGCTATCTCTGGCGGCGGGGTGGGGGGAGAATTCATTCCTGGAGGCAGTGTGTTCTTCTGAGAAGATGGAAAGTGGAGAGACAGCAGCTGCACAATGTGGTGGGTGAATGAATGCCACCGAGCCTCACACTTTAAACAGCTGGACTGTACACTGTGTGAATCCCACCTCAAAATAAAATGTAAAAGCAACACCTACGGGCAAGGTAGTTCCCTTGGAAAATTATTTTACTGTCAAGATAGGGGTACGCTGGCCTCCTTGGGAATGCCCGAAGCCACGGCCGACACAGGTATCACGCCTGCAGGCACCACGTGAGGGCCTTCTCCCTGCGTCACAGGGTGACTAGGGAATGGAGGGTGACACTACCCAGTGCTAAGTGGGCTGAAATCCCGCCCCCACCAGCACGTGCTCTTCCAGGGGCAACTACAATAACTCTTCTAAGACACACGGAACGAGGCTAAAGGCATTACTTTTGTACCTTTGTGGCTCATGGTGGCAAAATCTAAGTATCGCGTGACTTGCCATAAAAAGAAACTAGAGAAACTGAGAAACTAGAAGGTATGAAATCCAACAGCTCCGAGTTGGTCGCCCACACTCCCGCAGCAGGCCCCACAGTCCACGGGAATTGCAGCAGCCGGCTGAGCACACGGACCAGTCCCGGTGGAAGGACACCAGCCTATTGGAGGGACTATCCCGAATGAGCAGAAGCTCTCTTGCCTGAAGTGTGTCTCTATTACACCGAATTTAGGCAACTTTGTAGGGCAGGATGGACAAAGAAGTAGAACCTTCCATCAGACTGCCGTCAGACCCTCCTCGTCCCACACCTTACTCATCCGTCCCTCCGCAAGACCTCTGACAATGACCTTACTGCTACTAACACTGTTCTTAAGTGCATCACCCACAATATTCGGAGAAGACTCCGTTTAGGCCTCTTTCGCTACTCCAACTAAAAACCAGACGCCTGCTGAGAATTTTCCCAATAATCCATTTCCAGTCCCAACACTGTACTACTGAGTGTCCCCTGGGAGGGGAAGAACCTGACCACAAGGAAATCAAGGTTCCTCAGTCCTCATAGCACTGCTCCATTATCCTGCCCTTGGACATCCGACAAAATACTCTGTATAAAATGACGCCCAAAATGTTGACAGCCTAGAAGTTGCTCAGGAGATGACGGGCAGGAGCAGCAGTGAGATGCCCAGAGTGGAGGGCGGGCAGGTGCTCCCACAAGTTGGAAAGACAGAGACCAGAGGACGAGGTGGGAGTTGCGCTGCCCCAGGTCACTTCCTCACTTCAGCTTCCCTCTCCTGTGCCCTCCTCTCTACCCGGACAGAAAACTAATTTCTACCTTGGTTAAACACACAGACACAGAATCTTCAATAAATTCATGGACTTAATACAGCAAAGAACTGGACCTTTCTCCCCTTTCAAGGTTTTGTTTCTGAAAGCAAACTTTCTAAAACTTATTCATCCTGGAAAAGTAGAGGCAGGGTTTATCAATCAGGACAATGAAATGAATAAATTTCTGAAGTGACTTTTATAGATGACTCCGGGTAACAGTAAGATTCTTCAGATAGCTTTTCTAAGTGCAAATGTATATGCAATCTTCCACAACCCTTTACCCACACGAAATCACATCCCAGGCATGACAGCAGCATTGCCCGAGCAGGTCTGGTGCGAGAATCAGACATGGCAGGAATAGTCTTCATCTGTATTGTAAAAGCACGCATGTACATTAAGTAAATACAACTTTAACACCTCTACACTGTCCTGAGGAGGGTCTTTTCCATCGGGTTAGCCAGTGTAAGAGATCACCGGCGACCTCATTCCTCTGTGGGACGTAATTCATGAGAGCACTACTGGCCCCATTAGCTCTCTTTCCAAAAAGGCCAATCAGCTCATCATCATAACTCGAGCCCCTCGTTCCAAGCAGCAAGCAGCCTTCTCACCAGCGCTTTCTATGAGTTCTCGTGACAAGTGGGGCTGTTCCGGAGGGAGGACTCCGTTAGTACATTCCGTTTGTACTATTTAAAAAGGCCAGAAAAGAGCTTTAACTGGAGTTGCTGAGCCCCCATGAAGTTTCTCTGGCCTGGACCTAACCTCACCATCATCTAAAACATGATTCTGAAGCAGAGAAACATTTAAGGAGCACGGAAATAAAGCCAAGGACAAAACTTTGCTTTATGTAACTTCCAGAATGTGGGACAGTTGGAACTTCTAAGTATAAGAAACATTAAGTTTATCTCGACACCACCCTACTGTTAGCCTTTCCATGGCTCTGGGTTATCAAGAACAGTGAGAATCCATCACAGAAAGCAGTAAAAGCCACTCGGCCGTCGTCCATGCCGACATCAATAACCCAACACTGCATCCAAGATCTTTCTTTGCAAATTTTCAGCTCGTCAAGTATCTAACCATGCTTTTCAGAGGGAAAGATGGCTCTGAGGCTGCGTTAAAAAGAAAGATCCAGAACAGTGAGCCTTTGTAGTTTATCATTTCAAGTTACACAGAATACGAACTTCATGCCTGAAAGCAAGCTAGTAGGTCCATTGGCCCTGGGAGTCCCACGTGTTTCAGCGGCCCCGACTTTCAGCGGAACTTCACAGCGGCCCCTGGGAAGAGGGCTGCTGCGAGCCCCAGGGCAGGGATCAGAAGGGCCAGTAGGGGATGCTGCACGAGGGACATGCGTAGGGGGAGGGGGGCTCACCCAGGTTGTGCCGCTTGGACTTGGCATGTTCATGGATGTGTTTCTTTGTGAAGCAGCCGAAGAAGACACAGTGCAGGCAGGAGTGAAGCCGGTTCAGGTGGACGCCGCAGACGTGACAGACGCACGACTTTGCCTGAAATTGAGAGCAGAGAGTTAGAAACCAGGTGCCCTCGGAGAGAAAGTGGCCAAGCAAAGTGATCGGTAACGGACATGGTGACGGGAGGAAGCGAAATCACGGTATCAGAAATCACGGTATCATCAGCCTCACTCAACAAGAGGTCACCTTGCTAATCCTTTCAACGGCTCCGAAGGGTACTCCAGCTCATTTAGCTCAAAACTATCAGCTCCACGTAAGAAAGCTCAGCCCACAGCCTCAACTACCAAACCCAGCAGGCTGCTCAGAGGTTTGCCACATGAAGCTTTAGGAGTCTCCGCCTGAGCCCCGACGGGGAGCCACCAACACTCTCGGCTCCTGTCCCCGTTTCAGACCAGCAACCCGCAGCCTTGCCAACCCCTGCCGTGGACATCACTGTACGTTTGCTATTCCAGCTCCCACCACCAAAGCCAATTCAGCAGCCATCCATCAACCAGTAGAGAGGACATGAGTCAAAGTGATACAGAATAACAAGAAAAAGAAACTTTGTTGCCAAGAGTTAGACCGCAGAAACCTGAATTTGTAATCTCAGCCAATATGAGCAGTGATAATTCTTACATACCCAAACCACCCCAAAACACCACTGTTTCCAGCACAATATGACCTCGACACTGTAGTAGTAACTCTAAACTCCCTGCAGGCATCAAAGTGAATTTCCGGCCTCTGAGAGGACACCCTGGTGTCGGATTTTCCTCTGTGATGGGGGGGGGGCATGGAGCTGGGCCAGGAGGAAATAAACTGGGTACCGGGAAGGGGAAGGTAAAGACAGAGCACGCTGTCGACACACACTCCACACTACCCGCTGAAAGCACCAGACACCGGGGCCGCGGGCTGAAAGCGGCCACATCTGAAAGATGCCACACCCCAGTCAAGGCTCACCACCGCCTGCTGGAGATGGTTCTGGGCTCTTCTGGAAGTTACTAGTGTATATGTTTGACCACTGAGCCTGTGTGTGTGTGTGTATGTGTGTGTGTGTTTGTGACACACACAGTTAGAATGTGGACAAGGACGTGCCTAAACCCCAAGCGGCCCCTCAGCCTGGAGGCAGCCCCAAGCTTCCCACCGCACACACAAGATCAAGTCAGGTGCCAAGCCCTGCAGTGACAGGCTGTGCAATCACCTTGAATGGGTGGCACGGAGGGAGGAGGGGCTCTGGGGACCAGGCTCAAATCATATTTACCTAAAACATGAATCACTGTTTTCACCTAGCTGGTAACTGCCTGCAGGGAAGCAGAGCAAGTGCACATCAGCTGGGCAGGGATGGCGCCTCAACCAGCACAGAGCCCTGTGGCCAAAGCCCAAAGTCAGAAGACAAATTAGACGAGCTCCTCTCCCTGGCCCGTCCCCACCTCGTGCACTCTCTCAAATAAATAAATCCTCAAGACAAAAACAAAAAAATAAATGAATAAAATGCCGTATTAGTAGAAATAGTAGTTATATCATCTATTGATTCTTCTAATGATAAATCAAAGAAATTAGGTAACCATAATTGTTTTTAGGAATATAGGGGACATTTTTAAATTACACATATAGCTATAGTTGATGTAAGCAAGTGATACTTCCAGGCATCATGGAAAAATTTCCCTTTAGCTATAAATACTGTAAGTAAGAGATTCCTGGAGATTCAGTTATAACCATGAGTGAGAATCCATTTACTATTCACTACAATTACAGACACAAAAGAATGATTAAGAGGAAAGATTAAGAGGTGTCTTTTATTTTTATCACTCAGGATATTTTTTAAATTATTTTTAAAGATTTTATTTATTTATATTCCAGAGAGAAAGAGCATACACAAGCAGGGGGAGCAGCAGGCGGAGGGAGAGGCAGGCTCCCTGCGGAGCAAATACCCCCATGTGGACTCTGGTCCCAGGATGCTAGGATCATGACCCAAGCCAAAAGCAGACACTAACCAACTAAGCTACCTGGGCATCCCATCACTCAGGATATTTTAAAAAACTGATATTTAAAATTCCTCCATGGGACACCTGGGTGGCTCAGTGGGATAAGTCTCCGCCTTGGGTTCAGGTCATGGTCTCAGGGTCCTGGGATCAAGCCCCACGACTGGCTCTCCGCTCAGCGGGGAGCCGGCTTCTCCCTCTCTCTCTGCCTGCCTCTCTGCCTACTTGTGATCTCTCTCTCTGTCAAATAAATAAATAAATAATCTTAAAAAAAAATTCTTCCATGTACTTAAAACAGTAAATCCAATTCTATTTATATAACAAAAAAAATTCCAGAGTACCATTACCTTGAAAATATAAGCTTATTAGATAATTACATAACTGACACAATTTTTCCTTAAAACACAAAAAAAAACTTAAAAAAAATTTATTTAGAGAGAGAGAGAGGGGTAGGGGCAGAGGGAGAGAGTCCTCAAGCAGACTCAAGCTCATGCTCCTGAGCACGGAGCCCGACTTGGTCCTCCATCTCACGACGAGAACTGAAATCAAGATCTGGATATTCAGCCGAGAGAGCCAGCCAGGCGCCCCAAAACCCAGATCAAGTTTTTTAAAAAGATAAAAGGTAAGCCCTGAACTTTCAATGTAAAAATATATCAACTGTTCTTGTGCAGAATTTCATGGAAGAGAAATCTGCCTGAGGAAAAAGATCCTCCAGAAGTCAGCTGCACAAACACTACGGCAACTGTAAGGAAGCAGAGAGCTCCAACGGAAAACACAGAAACCGATCATGCCCTGAAGCCACCGGGTCAGGGGAAGAAAGCCTCAAATATAAATAAATGCACACACATACTCACACTTCAGCTAGGTATTTTTCATTTAAATAAAGCCCATGGTCGGGGCACCTGGGTGGCTCAGTCAGTTAAACATCTGATTCTAGATTTTGAGTCAGGTCGTGATCTCTCGTGAGAGATCCCCGTCTTGGGCTCTGCACTGGGTGTGGAATCTGCCTGGGATTCTCTCTCTCCCTCTCCCCCTGCATGCGTGTACATGTGCACACACTCTCTCTCAAATAAATAAATAAATAAATAAAATAATTTTTAAAATAAATAAATAAAGCCCATGCTCGATACTCATGTTAAGGCACACATTAGATTTTACTAACTGGAGCTCCCCTGTCACGTTCACCGTGGATATAGGTCATGAATCTATTACCCATAAACACCAATGACCTGCCACACACCCTAGCCACGAACAATTAATTAATTCATGCTTCCTATACAAGAATGAACATAAATGGATACCTCTTATAAGCCACTGAGTCCAACACCAAGAGAGACACGTGAGGAACAATGGGAGCCCGCTTAAGGGATTCCCACTAGACAATTTTGGTACAATTTGAGCATAAAAATGAGTAACAACAAGAACAGATTATATACTAAATAAAAAAGAATTCTCAAGTCCATTCTGACACTAATACTACACAAACACACACACACACACAGTCTTAATGGTCTTCTTCCCCGGAGAATTCCATCTAATCAATGTAGTAGGAAAGACAAAAATACACATGCAAAATCTTCATTTTCTAATCAACACCGTAATAATGGATTCAGGCAATGATCACCAGATGCTAAAACCACAGAGAGAAAAGTACTGAGTCATTCACAATAGCTAAAAGGGAGAAGAAAAAGCCCAAATTTCCATCAATGAATGAACGAATATGCAAATATAGTACATCCACACATTGGAGTATTACTCAGCCATAAAAAAGGAATGAAACTGCAACAACACAGATGAACCTTGAGAACATAAAGCTAGTGAAAGCAGCTGACACTGAAAGTCATGTAGTGTGATTCCATTCACATGAAATATGAAGAATATTAGTTCTTTGTAGAGACAGAACAGAAATCAGAGGCTGCCACCAAGGACTGAAGATGGAATGGGGAGGAGATAAAAGTTACCTGGGGGCACCTGGCTGGCTCAGTAGGAGGACCATGCCACTCTTGATCTCAGGGTTGAATCTGAGCCCCATGCTGGGTGCAGAGATCAGTTAAAAATAAAATCTTAAAAAAAAAAAAGTGATCTGAAACTTGGCAGATGTGGGGTGATGATCGTAAAACATCATGAACACGGTGACTTGTTCATTTTATTTATTTTTGAATTGTTCATTTCAAAGTTAATTTTTATGTGAATTTCACCTCAATAAAAAAAATACATTAAATTTCTTATATGCATGTGTACATGTGTGTACGTGTCTACATATGTCCGGGTGTCTGTACAATGGAGCAGAGGATATTTAGTTTCAAAGTATCACCCCAGAGACTACTTTTGTTGATTAAAAGAGAAAAGGTTACCTTTAGAACAGAGAACTCCGGCCAACAAGCACCACCTCATCCAAACCTTAACATCCCCCAAAGAAACCGACATACATGAGAGAAGTGCATATACCTAGAACACCAGAAGACACACAAAGGAATATCATAACTGTAATACCCAAACCTGAAAAGAAAAAATATTTGGCAGAAGCAAAAAGAATAAACTGTGGTACAGACAGTGAGGGGAATGACCAGAGCACTGAAGGAACTCACAGTAGGTCGAATCCCAGAAGCAAACACAGAGGAAGCCCGCCACTGAGAAGAACGCACTGCAGGTTTCGGTCATATGAAGTACTGAGGCAGGCAAAGGTCACCAGCTGGTTATGGAAGGGCGGATGGGGGCAGCGGCAGGAAAGGGTTTGCAGGGGACATCATGTGGAGTGCTGGGTGCAGTCCACAAGGACAGGAGTGTGTTCACTTTAGAAAAACTCACCAGGAGTGTGCCTTAACAGGAGGGATAAAAAGCCATAACACAAAATAGTAAACACACCGATAACAGATGCGGTTTGCAGTCATACTGAGAGACCTAAACCAAATGCTGTGCAATTTAAAAGGAGAACCGCCACACCTGATTGAGGACGAGGAGAGAACTCTGAGAAATCTGTACACAATTTCTGCTCAAATTCCACGGAATTCTATAAGATAAATGTTTCTTACAAGGGGTATGACTTCGGTTCAGCAGGAGAAGAGAACTAACTCCAAG